CTGATCCAGCTGCTCTAAATGAAATCAAGAGTGCTAGCCCAGAAGTGTTCATTCAACCTGAGAGAAATGGCAGCAGAAACTACCAAACCCCTGTGGACAGGAGAGTTCTCAAACTTTCGATCACTCCTGATGGCCTTCTGGGAACCTGTGGAACACGCAGGTTCCAGGGCCCTCCCTTCAGACAGTCGTATTTGATAGGTCTCAAGGGTGAGGGTTTGCATTATCAGCAAACACTCCAAGTCATTCTCATAAGGGTGGACCACTAACGGTCCACTCTTTGAGAAACTCTGAAGAGTTTTGCTAAACAGCCAATAGGCAAGCAAACTACTGGTCAATACCAACAATTGGTGACTGAGCAAACAAACAAAAAGGATAGAGATTTAAGAAAGAGAAAAATACATGCGTGTGTATGCATGGGCACATATTTCAATTTCCAAAAGGAAATTTCTAAGATGGATCTCACACACACACACACACACACACACACATACACACACCCTAATAATGAGCCACTGGCCCATTCCTATCAGATGCAGGGCAATGGCCCTCAGGGGGAACAATGCAGGCAAAGGTCAACCTCGGTCCTCTCTTGTCCAGACTCTCTAGAGACCATTGTGCTGAACTCTGTTCTGAACCAGCTGGTTGGAGTCAGTGCATGTACCCAAGAGAATAAGCCTCAGGGTAAAAATGGAAGACACCCATGCAAACCGAAACACCATATACAAATATATCACTTGTGTGTATATTTGTCATCAGCGGGCTAGACAGTTACAGGGATGCAAAACAGAGTTCTGGAAACCACACCCAGACAGACTATATTCTAATATTGGCATTTCCTTCCTATCTGGTTGCTAATTCTTTGCGATGCAAATAAAGAAGAAATGAGAAAAAGAAATGACCTACCAACTAGTTCCGTAGAAAAATTCCTCCCAGTTTAAGGATTTTATCTCTACTTAACTTTGGTTCCTGAAATAAAGCTGACATGTGCACGGTGCTTAATTCAGTCACAAAGTCCTGTCATATATGTTGCCATCTCATTTATTTTCACTCCAGCCCTGTGAAGTAGGTAGGATCAGTGATTTAATGACACCTGGGTCCTGCAGGCTGAGAAGGGGCAGAGCTCTACAATCAGAGCTGGGACTCCCACTCAGCCTCCGGATTGCAGATCAGAAACCACAGCCTCCTGAACCGGACAATTGTCTTCTTAAATCCTTTGTGGGAAGGGGGCAAATTATTTAACGAGATAATTGGTCCATTGAAGAAATGGCTCAGGCAGGAGTGGCCGCTCTCTTGATCACTGTTACATTTGTGTTTGCTTTTACTCAAATGTGGCTTCATTCTGCTCCTGAGTCAGCGGGTGCCAACACATATCTGCAGGGAATTTCAATTCTGGGCTGAAAGGAAGCTCCCTCTTGGACATCTTGCAAGACCCATCAAGGAACCTGATGGAAATTGAGCCTGTCGTTAATGAGACGGGCAATTTGGCTCAGAGAAAACAATTTCCTAAAATGACTATGTCAGCAACCTTAACGTGCTTCCCGGTGAAACAGAGCAGGGACCAGTTTCCAGAAGGCGAGGACACGTGATGGAACACTCACAGGCTCCCCGGTGCCCAGCAGAGTGTCACAGGCAGAGAGGGTGCCCAGGAGTATCCGGAATGAACAGATCAGGGTGGCTGCATGCTTTGCAAGATGGAACGAGGTACAGAGTATAGACCTGGAGGTAATGAATTTGGGTCTGAGGGTTCTCATCCCAGCTCCAGCCTTGTCATCAGAGCACTTTATTGTCTTTCTTGTGGGTAAAGTGCTCTAATGACGAAGAAAAGAAGCCAAGCATCTTATTCTCAACAATCTGTGCAAACCCACCAGAGGAGGAAAAGCAAACTGAGCAATTAAACCAAAGTAGTTAACAACAGAGGGGAGACAGTCCAGATTCATAACCGAGTCCCAGTAAGGAGAAAAAGCTGGTTAGATCACTTCCCTTTATAAAGTGATGCTCTGGCTTAAAGAAGGTTGACTGCATGCTGAAGGGTTAAATGCATTACCAGCTGGCAAATGACCTTCTCAGGAAAGGGGAGACAAGAGAGGCCAAGGCTTCAGAAGTAACTAGTTTAATAAAAATAATCTCCCCCTCTCATTTCTGACACCACAGGGCAGTCACACCAGCCCGCCTCGGGTCACCAGACGCGGCTCGGTGAAGTCAGAGGAAATTATAGAAATCCATCACTGCTGAGTTTTCTGAACCGGTTATTACTCGCTGCTTTTTATCTTCCAAACAGTCCCTGAATTTAATTGCTCCGTTGTAATGGATTAACCTCTGAGGTCCACAGTAGCATTTATAGTGTGTTCAAAGGGAAAGTTGCAGGTTCTGAGCCCATTTCTGGAGTATGTTTTATGAGACCTAAGCATGTCTGCCCAGTTCTGGGTGCCTCCAGCAGACGCTTGTCAGCAGAGGTCACGCAGATGCCCAGACAGGGAGAAACACAGACACTCTCATTTGACCGGAAGGAATGGATGCACCCCTCCAGGCTGACTTCCAGATGAAAGAGGAGTAGGCCACGACCACAGGGACTGTCACTCTGCAAATAGATATTAAAAGCACTGGCTTTAGAGGTGGGTCAGATGTGGGTCTTACTCTTTTCTCATTTATGTGTCTCTTCTAGACCATTCCCACCAGCAAGCAAACAGGCTCTACTATCTCCTGTTTATAAAAAGTGTCCCTCTTGACCTCATTTCTTTGCTATTTCTTAAAAGTATACTCCTCTCCCCACTCTCCTCAAACTTCTCACATCAGTCGCCAACAAGCTTCCACAGAGCCAGATTCAATGGACACATTTTGGGTTCACTTTCATCCCCTTTGCAGTGGCATTTAATGCAGGGGGACTGTTCTCTCCTTCCTGAAACACTGCTTTCTCCTAGATCCCAGGAAACCCACACTCTCCTGGTAGTTCTCCTACCTCTCTGGCCATCCCTTCCCACGGCCCCTCCCTGGTTGTACTTCTTACCTACCAACGTCAGTGTTCTTTCTTGGGCCCTCTTCTCATTTCTCTCTTCCCCCTTCCCTAGACATTCTCATCTATCTAGGTGGCTTTAAATGCAGCTTATACACTGACCACTCTAAAGTGTACATCTCTAGCTTCTGACTTCCTTTCCGAACCTGAGGGTAGCATATTCATAGCTTATTTGGCCCAAATCTAAATTCTTAGGTATTCATCATTTCATAAAACGAGTCCTACCCCCCTCTTATCTCCAATCCACCAGCCAGTCCTGTTGATTCTACTTCCAAAGTATATATCAAATGAATCAACTGGCATGACCTAGCTCAAGCCACCAACTTAGCACAAGAGGCTCCTAACACTTGTTGAGGTTCCAACTGGGCTCCCTTTCCATCTACTTGTCACACAGTAGCAGGTGACTCCCACGGCAGGCTCACGCTCTTTCTCTCCACCTACTCCAACCTTACTTGTCTGCTTTCTGTTCCTCAACCAGGCCAAGCTCATTTCACCCCAGGGTCTTTGCATTTGCTATTCTCTCTGCCTGGAATTTTCTTTCTTCTGATTGTCTATGCCTAGTTTCTTCTTAAATGCCACCTCTGCAGAGAGGCCGTTTCTGCTCTTCCAATCTAAAAAAAAACAGAAACTTAAGTTCAATCTGTTATCGAACTTAACAGAACTCTCACTTCCTAGCAGTAAAATAAAACAATCAAGGGTGAGATTAAGAGGCAGAAGTGTGAGCATTGTGGGAACACTCCCATGGCCTTCGGTTTTAATTCTGACTCTGATACTACCGCTGAAACCAGTTAGGAGATGATTGTGCTAATCCAGGAGAAAGGACTCCCCCTTGGACCAGTGGTATGGAGAGAAGCTGATGCATTTGAGAAAGAATTTTCAGGTATAATTTTGACATTTGTATGCAGAAGAGAGGGGAAGAACTGAGGCTAACCCCGATCTTTCTGACTATCCACTTGAGTGGATAGTAATGTCCTTTACTAAGATGGAAAGAAACAAATTTTGGAGAAGGTGCCAAAAGTGCCTTTTTGGACATGATAAGTTTGGAGTGCCTGAGAGATGCCTAAATGAAGAGTCAAGAAGGCACTTAGATGTGGGGTTGGAGTGCAGAAGAGAGGTCTGGGTGTTTCCAGGTCTGCATTGAGATTGAGAGTTGTCAGCATAAATGGTATTTAAAATCATGAACATGGAGGAAGCTGTGTACGGAAAGAATATATAGTGAGTAAAGGACCCTGATGAAAGCCTGAGTCACTCCAGCATTTAGGGGTAATATGTAAATCTAAGGCCAACAAAAGAGATTGAGCAGGAATGGCCGGAGACAGTAGGGAATCCAGGCATTCTAGGAAGAGGCCACAAGAAGAGAATTTTGAAAAGCAGGCAGAGATCAAGTCAAATGCTGCAGAGGTGGTCGGGAAAGATGTGTCCTTTGGATTTTGCACCGTGGAGGCCGTTTGTGGCTCTAGCAAGAGCCGATTTGGGCTAGTGGCGGGAAAATACCGTCTCAGGATGGCTGATGAGGAAGTGCAGGCAGGCTGTAGGCGACGCGCTCAAGAAGCTTGGCTATGATGATAAATGAAACAAGGGGGAAGCTAGTAAGGGTGATGGAGGGTTTTAGTTTTTTATTGTTGTTTGGGGAATCATTTGCACAAGTGGGAAGGTAACAGAATTATCCAGACAAGAGGGAAAGGTCAAAGATATAAGAGATAAATGAGATTATTAGAAGACTAATGTACTTGAGACCCTGGGGAATGTTTGGTCTAGAGCATGATGTAAGCTACATACATAATTTTAAATTTCTTAGCAACCACATTAAAAAAGTTTTAAAAAAGAAGTAATATTAATTTCAATAATATATTTCAATTCACACAATATAGTCAAAACATCATTTCCGTATCCAATCATATAGGTAATTATTGATATAATTTGTATTCCTTTTTATATTAAGTATTTTACACTTATAGCACATTTCAATTCATACTAGATGCATCTCAAGGACCCGGTAGCCACTTGTGGCGATGACCATATTGGACATCCAGGTCTAGGGCACAAGCAGAGGGATTGGTCTTTGATTGAGCAAAGAACACTTTCTCCATTAAAGACAGAAAGAAATAAAAGCCCATATGCAAGAAGGTTTGAAATTTGGTGGTGAATAGAGGAGGGAGAATGGAGGGATATTAAAAACCCTTTAGAATAACCACTAGTACAGTACTTAAGCTTTCCATCAATCTAATGCTTCTCCCTTGAAGATTCCCTTTATTTCCACACTACTTTGGGAAGTCAGATAGAAGGTAGGTAGTTTTGACATTGGAAAGCCTCCCATAATATCTAAAACAAATCCCTTTTTAAGCACTGTAAGGACTTTTTCACATTCTGTTCTGTGTTTGGAGAGACAAATCATCATTCAGTGATAAAGCAGTTACAGGTTCTATGTCCAAGGCCCAGTCTTGCCACTGAGCCTTCATTACACCGGGCAGTTCATTTCATAGAGATGGTCTGAGCAATGAGCATAATGTTCTTAGAAGGAACACTATAAAATATCTATACCCATATATGCAATCAATAATAATAATAACACTGCCAAGGGACCTACCACATCCTCCTGGTGCTGGCAGTTGATGACCCCTCAAGCTTACTTTTCTCTCCTGCAAGGATCAGCAAAATCCCAAGTGTGACTCTGCCTAAGCCTTTTCCTCCTTGCCCTTCAAACCCACATGGACTTTGAGGTAAATCTAATCCACATGTTTCTGATTCATTTACACTTAACTCATCAAAATATTGTTTTCTAACGGCTATTTTTGATGGCCAACAAGTCTTCCTTAAAGCTCCTTGCTTAGAAATAAGACATTGTGGTTTGCCAAAAGAAAAAAAGTTGAGCCCTGAAAGGTTTGAATTCTACTTGAAACCAAGAAATCACGAAATTTGGGCCAAATTTGGTCAGATGCGTTCTCATTATTCCTAATAATCTTTCTCCCCCAGGTGATTTTTCAATTCTTGTTCCAGCGATGGACAGAGTGAAAATGCTTGGGCTGGGCAGGGCCGCTGGTCCAGGATCGCACTGGAGACGAGTTGAACTAGGAAATAGGATGCATTCATTTGGAAAGGACTTTTTCTGTCAACTCATTTCCCCTCCCTTGAAATTCTTACCTCCATGGTTTACAGTAAGCTTCTTGTCAGCTAAATGGCAGCTCCTTTACTCACCCCAGACTCCTTAACTCACCCAGGGTGCTTTTCATGCTCACAAACTGCTCCCCTTAGGGCGGGGCTATTCATGGTACTTGGAACCACCACTTCTCTCTTCATTTCCCCTTCTCAATGAAAGCTCTGTGTCAAAGGGTTCAGGAAAACAAAACTCCCAGAGCATGAAGAATTTCATGGCCCTGCAAAGAAACAGAAGATACATTAGGTCAGATGTTAGGCTGATAAATTCACCAACTCCCTCTAACTTAAAACTTTAATTAAAATGACCCTTGTAAGGGGAATTAAAAATAAACACTCATTCATGGTTTTGCTCTGGAATCCCACAAAGTCTACATGAATAGACTACTTCTATTTTATCGTAGCTTCCTAAGACACCCTGCCCAGATGGATTTTATTCCTGCCATTTGGAATGAAGACAAATCTTTAGCAGCGCTCACAGGCGCAGGCTCTGGTCAGCCACCATGTTTGTCTCCCTTTGGGCAGCTTCCAGGCAGGGCCACTGGATGCGGGACACACTAGCTGGGTGAGGTTATGAATTCTCCCTGGTGAAGGTAAATGCGTAGGCTGGCGGCGGGAACTAGGACACAGTAAGTGTCCAAATATGTATGTGTTGAATTAACCTGTATCAACAAAACACAGTGAGTTTGGGCAGGGTGTGTGTGTGTGTGTGTGTGTGTGTGTGTGTGCCTGTCTGTGTGTGTGAGAGAGAGAGAGAGAGAGAGAGAGAGAGAGGGAAAGAGAGAGAGAGAGAGAAGAAACAGTTGAAAGAAAGGGACACTGAAGTAGGTCTGGGGAGGGTCAGGAAATGTGGGGGTCTATAGCCTAAGAGTAACTTTGGGGCATATCAAAGAGGTTTAATGAGTGTTTTATTCGTCTCCCCTCTAATTTCTGCTAGAATTGCCTCCTTAGTGATGCTCTGTGGAGTGGGTCGCTTGGCAGAGCTGTATGACAAAGTGCTATACCCGGTTCAAGGCTGTCAGGAAATGAAACCAGAGGCTTCCCCAGGGAGCATGTGGACTGTGTGTATTACTAAGCTGGCTATCTCGCCCTGCTGGACCTGGCTCAGTGGGTGAGCGTCAACCTAGGATCCGGGAGATCGAGGTTCGATTCCTGGTCAGACACATGCCTGGGTTGTGGGCTCGATCCCCAGTTGGGGGCATGCAGGAGGCAGCCGATCAATGACTCTCTCATCACTGATGTTTCTGTCTCTCTCTTTCCCTCTCCCTTCCTCTCTCTGACTATCTCAATCCTATAGCAGTCAGGGCCTTGGGTAGTCAACATGATTCAGAGAAGAATGGCAGTTGCCTCTATGGAAAGAAGAAAGGCTGGGAAGCCAGGAGGCCTGGGTCTTAGTCCAGAGTGGCCTCTACTGGGCACAGACTCACAGAAGCCACCTCACCATTCTGGGCCTTAGAACCACCTGAGAAATGGAAGACTTAGAAGATTTGTAAGATTCGGTCCACCTCTAACTTTCAAAGATTCCTACATTATATTTCTTATCCCTAAGATATTTATAATCTTTGAGATCTGTATTGATGAAACAGAGTTCTCATTGTTTATCTCTTTTGAATTTTATGCCAAACTAAGCCTCAGTCTCTGCAAGATCACCTCATATAAGCACGCACACCCTTCCCCACATATACACACCCCCTTATACACACTCTCACACACACACACACACACACACACACACACACACACACACACACTGTGAATGTGCTGGTTATCTGGTCTGTCTCTTCCATGTCCATCTCCACCCTGCTCTCTGCCTCCACAGACCCAACCAACAGACTCCTGGGCCTTCTACTTCCCACTGGGTCAGTGGGGAGCCCTTGCAGGGGACAAGAGAGAAGGAGAGTGGGTTCTGGATATTTTCCCTGTCTGCTTACTCTAGGTATCATAGAAATTTAGCCCCTCAGTTCCCTCTCTCTCAGACCTCTCCTCCTTTCTGGTTCTGATAACCACCCTTTTCCCTCCCTCTCCCTCTCCAGGCCCAGGGGTGGAAATGGCTCTGCTGCTTCTAGTCTTTATTCCTTCCCTCTCCCTGAGGCTCCTTAACATGCCCCCTGCACCTCTTTAAATAGGCCTTGAAAACAAACTCTCATGGAATGATCCTAACTGGAGTGCACCATCTGTCCCCATGGAGACCTACACAGTGAAGACCCAAAAGAGATTTCCAGACTTCATCCTTCAAAGCTGGTGACAAAGAAAAAATGTCAATGAGCTTTCTTTGCTTTAGAAACCAATGGTTATAAATGGATTAAATGCTTAAATGTAAGACCTGAAATCATAAAACTCCTAGAAGAAAACATAGGGGGAAAAAGCTCCTTGACATAAGTCTTGGCAAGAATTTTTTGGATATAACACCTAAAGTACAAGCAACAAGAAAATAAATAAATAAGTGGGACTACATCAAACAGAAAAGCTTCTCCACAGCCAAGGAAAACCATCAACAAAATGAGAAGGCAACCTGTGAATGGGAGAAAATATTTGCAAACCACATACCTAATAAAAGGTTAATATAAAAATATATAAAGAACTCATATAACTCAATAGCAGAAAAACAATCTGATCAAAAAATGAGCTGAGCAGAAGAACTCAATACACATTTTTTTAATCTTCACCAGAGGATATGCTTTTATTGATTTTTTTAGAGAAAGAGGAAGGAAGAGAGAGAAAAAGAGAAACATCAATGTGAGAGAGAAACATTGATGGGTTGCTTCCCATACATGCCCAACAGGAGATCGAACCCACAACCTGGGAATGTGCCCTGCCCGGGAATGGAACCCATAACCTTTCAGTGCACGAGACGACGCCCCAACCAACTGAACCACACCAGTCAGGGCCTGAATAGGCATTTTTCCAAAGAAGATATACCGATGGTGAAAAGGTACATGAAATGGTGCTCAACATTGCTGATCATCAGAGAGATGCAAATCAAAACCCCAGTGAGATACCTAGCGCCTGCACCTGTCAGAGTGGCTGCCATCAGCAAGACAAGAGCCAAGCGCTGGTGAGGGTGTGGACACAAGGGAACCCTGGGGCACTGTTAGTGGAAAACCGATTGGTGCAACTGCCCTGGAAAACGGTCTGGAGGCTCCTTAAAAAATTTAAAATAGAACTACCAGTGACTCAGCAATTTCAATTCTGGGAATATAGCCAAAGGAAACAAAATCACTATGTCAAAGAGATATCTGCACCCCACGTTCATAGCAGCATGACTTACAAGAGCCAACACATGGAAACAACTGAAGTGCCCATCAATGGATGAATGAATAACTAAAATACACACACACACGGAATACTAATTAATCATAAAAAAGAAGGAAATCCTGCCATTTGCAACAACATGGATAGATCTTGAGGGCATTATGTTAAGTGAAATAAGTCAGACAGAGAAAAACGAATACTTTATTATCTCACTTATATGTGGAATCTAAAAAGACAAACAAACAAAAATTCTACCAGACTCAGAGAAAAAGAGATCAGATTTGTGGTTACCAGAGGTGGGAGAAAGGGGCTGTGGAAATTGGATAAAGGTAGTCAAAAGGTGCAGACTTCTAGTTATATGATAAATGAGTACTGGAGATGTAACATATAATATGATGACTAAAATTAAAACCGTTATAAGGTATGTTTGGGAGTAGATCCTAAAAGTTCTCATCACAAGGAAAAACACGTTATTTATTGATTGTACCTATATGATATGATGGATGTTAACTAAACTTACTGTGCTAATCATTTTACAATATATGTAAATCAGGGTATTGTGCTGTATACCTTATATGTATACAGTGTTATATGTAGATTGTATCTCAACAAAAAATAAATAAATAAATGCCAACAGTTATACATTTTTAAACAAAAATATTTTTATTTGATGCAAATTTTTTTGTGCTTTACTAATATTAATAAGTATAGATTGGGTAAAATAAACAAAGCTAAAATTAGTGATAAAAATATGAGGGAAATATCAGTTCTTAAAATAGAACCAAAGCTTGAATCAAAATCTATCAATAAACTCTCATGAATTCTTATAAAATTATACATTCCTTATGATCTATAATTCACATAATCAGGTCACTATGTTGAACCTCTTCTCTGTAAAAAAATTATATATGTATCTATATGTATACACACACACATACACAAACACACAAGCCCATCCCAAATGAAATATGGTGATTTGTGCTCTATACCTGTTTGCATATTATAACAAGTTTTATTTACATTAATGGTATTAAGGAACATGTCATTGGACATTTAATTAACTAGACTCATCCACAAATTTCTATTGATAATTAAAATCATGTATTTGTTATGGCAATGATTTCGTAGTTTAAAACAAATTACACATTATTTCTTAAGTGCATGTGAATATCTTATTAAGACAAAGAATCTTACTCAAGCTAAGAAATACGTAACAGAAATATAAACAGAACTCTGAATAAGGAATGTACAACTAGATTATGAAAAGCATATGGCCCTGGCCGGTGTGGCTCAGTTGGTTAGAGCGTCATTCCCCCCCTTGCATCGAAGGGTCACAGGTTTGATTCCCAGTCAGGGCACATACCCAGGTTTCGGGTTCAGTCCCTGCTTGGGGTGAGTGAGGGAAGCAGACAGTTAATGTTTCACTCTCACGTCAATGTTTCTCTCTCTCTCTTTTTCTCTCTCTTTTCCTTTCTCTCTAAAATCAGTAAAAGCATGTCCTCGGGCCAGGATTTTAAAAACATACTAAAAAAAAAAAGCATAGGTCCCAGGGCCTCTGCTCACCTCCTCTATTTCTTGGGAATTGCTCATGGCACTTAGCTTAGAGCTAAGCACCTAAAGCTAATTGAAGAACAGGTCTGTTGACCAAGTTAAGTTAAGCCAAGTAAAAACTTTATCTGTATTTGTTCCGTGTACACACATACATAGCACGCACAATACACACACATCTGTAGCCAGATTAATACCTCATTTATCTGACATTATTGTCAGTACATTTCCCAAATAAATAAAGCTGACTCATTTCAAGTTATATATTTTAAGTGGGATCACAAAACTTTCTAAAAGAAAATACACACTACTCTAACTTCTTAAACAGAAAATTCTCAACATAATATGAACTGTAAACAGTGAGCCGTGATGGTTCTAATTAAGAGCATCAGTCATTTTGCTGGGCCCTCAGATCCTGTGGAGGATCTTTTGGCTATCACCAGACTATTTATTATTTTTAAACTGCATTCTAAACAGCTGAGGCAGTGAGACCTCCCTCCCCCCTACAGCACCTTACATCTGGTGGCAACTCTCGCTCCCGGAATAAAAGCCGAGAGTTGATCTCTGAAGACAATAGGCCTTCTGCCTGGGAAGGATCCAGGCTGGGGCTACACAGACCGTATTAAAAGAAATTGTTTTGGTAGTGTTAGCCATCACTCCCATTAAATTCTTAGGGAAACAAAAGGCAGTTCTACCCGGGAGTGAAAGACACTGAAGGGCAAAGCCCCAAACCAAAGCCCTGGTTTTTCTGCCCCTCCCTGGGCTCTCCAGTCTGTTCCCTGTACAAGCGCCCTGTGCAAGCAGGAGGCGGGCTGTCCCCCACTGATGGCAGATCCCAGGGTCAAACGGCCCTGCGGGAACACGGGACCCCGCCACCAAGGGCCACCCAACACTGAAGAAAATGGGACTCCAGAAAAGGGAAGAATCAGGTGAATAGAGACCAGTTATAATCTAGAGAACAAAAGTGACATTTTTTTAAGAAGTAGAATTAGTGTTCGCAGAGAGTTTTAAGAAGATAATGAATTCGGAAATCAAGAACAGGCTGCTGTAAAAAGACACCGACACACAAAAACATGCATTCAAAAAACAAGAAAGGGTACCTGGAAGTGAAAAAATAATAGTTTTCAAAATGAAAGCCATATCAATAATAGAACAAAGAAGGCCAAAGGCCAAGGAGGTCACCTGGGATCTATAACTGAGCCAGCATCTCATAAGGTAGAGCAGTAAGACAAAGAGATGCGGAGTGTGATAGGAAAGTTAAGAGGCAAGTCCAGTATACATCCAGTGACAGTTTTAGGAGAGAACAGGACACGGGAGAGGAGAGACCGTCTAAGAAAGGAGGGATAAAGCTTTCCTGAGATGAGGAATGGTAAGAATCTTCAGGTTGGAAGGGGCCAGGATCTCTCAGGATGCCTAAAACGATCCTACCTAAGGATAGGATAGATTTCAGAAGCTTAAAAAAATAAAGAATCTTAAAAAAGTGGTTTTTAAGTCCCATCAGACTACTTGTTGGTTACAGGAGATGCTAGAAGTCCGTTAAGTGGTGCAATTATACACATTTGGAGACAAGCTGGGACCCAGAAAATGAACCTGTGCGCCATGCGAGTAGCTGGGGACAGACGCCGCTAGTTTCTTGCCTGATGTTACTGTTACCTCTTTCTTTACAACAGAACCCCAGTTTCTTGGGAAGGGGGCTATCAATGCATCCTGCTTACATTATTCACATCCCCAGATGCCTGGGAGGCTAAGAGTGGCCGTTTGATGCAGTTCTAGCCAGGGAGCGTAAGCAGAAGTGGATCACTGGAGCTTCCTGGAGAGCTTTTTCAAAGGAACACACTCAACAGCCTGCCTTTTTCATTCCTTTGTCCCTTTGCCCTGCCTGCTGTCTGCTTCTCAGTATGTGGACTTAGTACCTGGAGGCTCACAACCATCTTGTGGCCAAGAGGACCAAAATTCACCAAGTAAGGATGCTAGTAGAGAGGGTGGAGAGAGCCTGGGTCCCTGATTAAAAATAAAATCACAAAAGTATTCAAAGAACTGTGGCGTAGTTTTAAAAAATAATTTTAGAGGAGGAAGGGCCATTCTAAGTGTGACACAAAATGCAAAAGCCATTAAAAAAGAAAGTTTAATAAACTTGACAACTTAAAATGGTAAAATTTTGTGCATGGGAAAAATAACCTCACAGAGTCAAATAATTAAAGACAAACTGAAAAAAAGTTAATTGTAACTCATATCATAAAAAGTTCATTTCCTCAATATACAATGAAATCCTTACCAATTGCTATGAAAAAAAATATTAAGACTTGACTCAAATAGGAAAGTAGGCTAAAGATAAAAACAGTTCACAGGAAAGAGAATAAATCATCCTTATATGAAAGGTATTTAATTCATAATAACATTAATGCAAACTAAAACTATGGTGAAATACCATATATATATACATTAAAAGATATATATATATACACATATATATATATGTGTATATATATATATCCTTAGCTGACCTTGTATATTCATAGAATATTCTGGACAGATGAATAAGGAAATTGTCTCTGGAGGGAAGAAGTGGATGACTAAGAGACAATGATAGTTGAAACATTTCCTTTTCACAGTATACTCCCATTTTAATTAAACATTGTATTTTGAGATCATTGTAGGCTCACAAACAGTTGTAATAAATAATACAGTGAGGTTGCCTATCCTCTACCCAGTTTCCCCCAGTAGTAACAATTTGAAAAACCATTGCCCTAGTCCTGCAGGTTTACGTCTATGTTTTTTCCTTAAAATTTTGCAATTTGTGTTTTATAATTAAGTGCACTATCCATTGGAGATATTTTTTGTCTGAGGTATAAGGTTTAGCTTGATGAATTTTTGGGTTTTTTTTGGAGATGCTATGGATGGCCAGTTGCTCAGCACTATTTGTTTAAAATTACCCGGTCTCTATTGAATTGCTTTTGTCAAAAATCAGATGGGCATATTTGGGGGGTCTTTCTGGTTTCCTTATCTTCCATTGATGTATGTGTCTATCATTCCACCAATACTACATAGTCTGAAATACTAAAACTATAAGTTAAGTCTTTAAATCAGATATACTGATTCCTCCCTTTTTATTTCTGAGAAGTGCTTTAATTATCCTAGTTCCTTTACTTTTCAATATAAAATTTACACTCAATCTTAGCCAAAAGTCAGAGAAGCGATTCTATATAATTTTTAGCATAATCTTGTCTATATTTACAAAAGACTTTCCTATCATTTTGATAGAGATTGAGTTAAACCTGCATATCAATTTGGAAAGAATCAACTGTTTATTATGTAGCTGTCTAATAGATGAGCATGTTACTTTTTTCCATTTATTTCGATCATCTTTGATTTCTTTAATTAGTATTTTGTAGTTTAAAGCATACAAGTCCTGAACATGTTTTATATCTAAGTATTTCACTTAGTTAACATGATTATAAATGATATTATATTTTTTATTTTGGTGTCCATGTAATCATTGCTAGACAATTACCTCATCAGAAAATAAGGAGAGTTTTATTGCTTCTTTTTCTATCTGCATGCCTTTAATTTCATTTTCTTGCCTTATTGCAACTGTTAGCACTTCTAACAGCATGTAGAATAAGAGTGGTAAGAATGGACATTCTTGCCTTGTTCTCAATCTTAGAGGGAAAGAAGTCAGTCTTTCACTATTAAGTATAATGTCAACTATAGGGTTTTTGAAAACGGTCTTTATTAATTTGAGGAAGTTTCCTTTATTCCTCTTTTTCTGAGCATTTCATCATGAATGGATGTTGAATTTTGTCAAACACTTTTTCTAAACCAGTTGATATGATCATATGGTTTTTCTTTAGCCTATGAATATGGTGAAATACATTGATTAATATCTAAATATTGAAACAGCTTTGCATCCCTGAAAGGTACAAATGACAAGAATTATTAATGTGAATTGGTTGTGGTATCTTTGAGCCTCTCCCAAACCATCCTTTCTATGAGCTCCACCACACTTCCTCACCTGCTGGAGAGATTGCCAAGGCTGGTTGCAGTGGACACTTATCCAGGCAGACCACCAGACCGTGGTGCTGGCAAGTATCACAGGGTAGCTAGCATGCCAAAGAGAGTACTTTGGATACACCAGGCTGAGGGGAAGAGAAGTGAGGAGATGTGTACATCATGCCAAGCTTGCTATCTGTGGGACCCATTGAGGTACCAGGTTCAGCTGGTTAACAATTTCTACTTGAGTACAATATGGCTGATTAATTCTGACTACGTTGCCCACAAACATGCAAAATATAATGGGAGAATGCATCCAGCTATTGTTGGAATGTAATACACATTCACAGAAACTCACAGCATTGTGCTTTGCTTTGCTACATTCTAAGAATCCATTCTACATTTTTATTTGTGTGGAATAAATTGCGCTCAACAGATTCCAGACTTTGTCATATTAATTTAGTGCTAAGTCATAAAAATACCCATAGACCTCAGACATTGCTCATAGGCTAGGATAATGCATCTCAGAGAGATAAAGCTTGGAAATTACTTTTCCTAGCCCAAATTCTGTATGACATTAAGATGCCTGGAAAAAAACAAAAGGCAAGATTCGGTGTCTGGAGGAGCTCTCTCTGTGCCTAAGACCCTGAGGGAAGCCAGAAAAGAGGCAAATATCCATTTAGAAGCAGAGGTCACCTATAAATCTAATTCCCCTCCCCATGAGTCATCTAGAGAGGGATTTATATATGTCTAGTAAAAGTAGAAAAACATTGTCCAGCATTTTAAATAGAAAGGACTCCATTTTCTGTCTTTATTTCCCTTCCCTAGATCATTATTTCTCAAACTATTTTATTATATCTCCCCCAAGGAAACTTTTTAGACATTTGTTTCCAAATTATTCCCCTGCCCTCATGAAATTTGGGTACCACAGATATATTGTATACGGTTTATGTTCATGGGTAAGGTTAATCTTTGGAGGGCCATAAGCTATTGCAATATCTAATCTTCCAATCAATTTTTGTCCCCTTGGAAGCAATATTGCCCCTGTTAATAATGCATGCCCTAGATAAATGAGTGTCTAAATTCTTTACAAAAGAAGAAAAAAATGAATATCCTAAAACAACTTTTAAAGTTGCTTCCCTGTCCTATCCTCAGAATTGCAATGACAATTATTTTATTTTACCTGGGTGCAACTGTTGGCATTCTTCAGTCTAGAATCAAGTAAAAAGAGGTTCGTTAGAATCAAGGAAATGTCAGGGAAGTCAATTTCAGGAAGTGCTGAAAGGTCTGAAAAGTCATAATCAGGCAGCTTCCCTCTGCTCATCTCCAGTTTCTCCTGAGTGGGTTCTGGGTGAAAGTTCTCGCCTGCTTCTGCTTAATACTGTGTGTCTCCTGCACGAATCCAAACATCTAACTGTCTCACCCACACAACCTTGCAGTATTCCTGCACTATTATGACAAGGAAGGGAGGACTAATAAAGGGTGACTAATATGGCACCATTTGTTGTAATATTGGATGGCTGGACTCAGTTGTTATTTTTAAGTGGACCAGCTTAATTTAAGACTTTGTATAAAACCTGGTGTTATGTCTGGGGTTCAGAGTCCCACAGAGTTTTGGTACATGAACCATGGCATGCTTATCAAGGGTGTCACTGCGATGTATTAATAAAGTTGAGTACCTGATTTTCTCACATTAGAGGCTTATGTGATTCATTTCCATTGGAATTGGGCAGCCATAACCATGATGTCAGGTATCAGGGAAACTGAATCTGCATGGTGGCAGCTGATCACACTGGGACATCTGATCATGCTGGGCTACCAAGGTTTGCTGGGGAAGATAGCTGCTGAATTTGAGGGAGCCACTAACAGTTTCTCTCCACAAACTGGTTTAATAAGGAGTCTCAACTCATTGGGAAATAAACATGAAAGTTCCCTTTATCGGCTGTCTGCCACCAGCTAGGCTCTGCTGAACTGCCTTTTTTCCCTGGGTGCAGCTCTCTTAACCATAGCTGAGATGACAGCCTACCTTTCCTGTCACCTTTATTACCAAAGCAGCCTCAATTTAACTCTGTAAGAGTAGGCACTGTCAATTTTAAGTCCCCAACTCCATATTCAAGGGGCAGCTCTTCTCTTTCCACCCTTCAAGCCTCAGGGTAGTCTACACGTGGCTTGGCCAGGGGATAGAGAGTGAGATACGTCTGCTCTCACACCCACCCACACTCATCGCCACTCTCACGTTGGGGCGGAGGGCAGATGGACAGAAGGTGCATACCTTCTTATGTGGCTGCTCACAGCGAGCTTTCAAACTTTTCCAGACTTCTCCCTGGTTGTTCATAACTGCTGACTTGGCTCATTTTCCAGGAACTCAAGATGGTCAAGTGGTCGTTCCAACAGCCTTGCTGATAAAGGGGCCAATTTAGAGACACTCCCTTAGGCATAAGCACCTCTTTTACTTGCCCTCCAACCAATAAACTCACCCACTTGTTCTGATGTTCCAAACGGCTTTGGTCTCTGGCAAGTCTATGGCCACGAATCCCACTTACCTTTCCGAATCCTAAATCTGGGGTCCATGACAGGTTCAAAATCTGTCTTCCATGCTATTGGGAACTCTACAGGGAAGTCTTTATCTCTGCCTGGTGGCACACTGTGCCATCTCCCAAGGGTTCTTTCTGCTTCTCTGGTAGCACTTGTGTGGGTCCTCAAGCCTGCTGACTTGCTATGAAAACCAGGGAATAAAATGTCCAACTTCTACTTGTTGGACTTACTTTCAAGGGTCTACATGAAAAGTTGAGTGATTCTCTTGAGGTCTCCATCCTTTGACTTCAGAGAGCAGAAGAGCCCTGGGGGAGGCAGGGAGAATGGGTTGAGGCACTCATGGCCCTTACTCAAGTGGGCAGTCTCATTCCACTGCCAGTTGCCCTCTGATATTTACTGGGAGAAGGGTTGGGGAGTAGTAGGAGCCATGCTTCTTTGCAAGCCCCTTGGTGGTGCCTGACCCATTCCTGACAAAAATCCAGGATCTCACACACTCCTCCCACACACACCCTACAAAGCTTCTTTCTACGCCTCTTGGTTCCTTTTCCACCAAAATGATAGCCTGCAAGTATGGCTTTGGGTTGTTATGGTAACAGATCTGGCCTCTACTCCACCTGATTTCTGACTTCGATTCCATTGCTCAGTCAATTCTATTTGGCTGCACTTATGGGTCTCAGTGCAGATTTTCAAGACAAGGAATCTGATTGACTCTTCTTTGAACATATATTTACTACAGTTTCAACAAGATATGAACAGAAGAGTAGTTTACCGGGTAAAAACAAGTGTTCCTAGGCCCTCTCATATATCAGGGCCTATGGGTAGGATTACTGTATCATTGTATCAACCAAACAAGCATTTTTGAGAGCAAAAGGTGGAGTAATCAAAATCCCCAGAGACAAAAGGCATAAGTTGGGATTGTCCTGAACAAACTAGGATGTATACTCAGCCTACCCAGAGGAATATACGAGGTACATCTGCCATATAGAGGAACAAAAATCAGTTTGAGAATCTCCTTGAGGGAAGGAAATGTGTCTTGTACATCTTTATATTTTTGAGTCTAACATAATGTCTGTCAAAAAGGAGGTAGTTGATAAATACCTGCTGAGTTAAGAAAATTTAACAAGCTCCAATATTTTGTTGAAAGTGTAGTTAATTTTCACATGTGAGCCTGGAAACCAGTTCCCTGTGAAAGGGAGGATACTCAAGCCGTTGTCTCAGAGAGACGCTTTTGAGGTCCTGTTGATGGAGTTGCCTACACTGTGCATCTCTCCAGAACCTGGACTTGTGACAGGCCCTTCTTATAATATAGCCTAAAACATACCTGCACAGAAGCATGGGTGATGATTCTCAGATATCTATTCAGAACTTCAGCCATTATCTGCAGGGTTGGGTTGGCAATCCTATGTCAGGAACCTAAGTGGAAATTGCAGTCTCCTTCCCTCACAGTGGACACCCTTGACTACAGGGTAAAACAGAGCAGCAAAAGGAATTATGTTGGAGCCGGTGGGAAGAGGGGATACAGGGAGAGGAAGAAAGAGAGGAAGAGGCAAGGAGCCACCCAAAGACAGGAGCAAAACTCCAGCCACATAAGAACTAAGAACGATCTCCGAACATCTTCACCGAGGGCTGCCAGGTATGTGGTATCTCGTAGCGCTTGTGAAAGCCACTGACCCCCAGCTACCCTCCTTCTCAGGGACTCCCAGGTCCTTCCCAAATCGAGCCTTTCTAGGGCATCTGAAGCCATTTCCACACACCTGTCTAAAGCCAACAGAGGCACACACAGCAAGCTGAGCTGACTGCCTCTCCTCCGTCCAGTATCAGGGGACATTCTTCTTATAGCTCTGTTCACATAGCCATGAGCCCCTAGCTCTGTCTAGAAGGCACCTCTGACTCCAGAGATAATAAAAATAAAAACTAGAGACTGTCAAAGGAAGTTCTCCTTTACTTAAGAGGGTCAGACAATTATTTTAGTATTTACTATTCATCATTTTGTTTTAAATGGGTTTGTATTTGATGCTTTTCTATAAAAACAAGATATGATTTATATAATGAGAGAAAAAGAAAATATATAAAGAGAAAATATATCACCTCCTCCTCATCTCTCCTTTCACATTTTGAAGCTACCTTTTTTAAGTTGGCATAGATACTATATTTTACTGTTGATTCTTGCACTTATGGATGTTCAAGTGGCTTTATCTTCCTTTCTTCTGAAGGCTATATGATTTTAATTAAAATATTAGCTGCATTCTGTCCATTTCTCTAGGAGGAAGACACCCCCCATCTTGTTCTTAGGAACTGCTCTAATGCCCAACATTTCTCCTCTCTGGGTGGCAGCTACCTGAGTCGCAGACATAAAGCCTCAGAGTATTTAACTTGGCTTTAAGGAGTCTCCCTGCAAACTCAAACTTAATGAAGACAGAAAAGTTATTACAGAGGTGTTCTTGATGGCATACAGAATGAAGGCACATTTGCCATTGGTCGGTGACAACAGGGTACACTCCACTATGTGTCGCTGCCAACCTCAGGCTCTAGGAATTTCCCTGAGGCCTAGTTGCCTCAAAAGCCCAGGGAGCAGTCAGGCTGTTAACCGGAGAGGAGCTCTGCCTCTCACCCCCCACTCCCCACTGCCCTGGGTGGCCTGACTGCCCTGGCTTGTAGGTTGGGAAAACAGCAAATATAGGACCAGCTTGTGCAATTCACTGCATTGTCACCTATAAGAAGAAAACAGAGAGAAGGAATGAGCCTCAAGGAATCAGTCTCCGCATGAAAACATGAATGAATTTATATTTAAGGAAAATAGAAGGGTTACAGGTTTTGATTTGTTGTTAAGTTTTCAGACTATTTTGTAATGATTTAAACATATACAGTACCATTTTTTTTTTTTTTTTTTTAGACAGCAGGTTGGCGAACTATGGCCTGGGGGCCAAATCTGGCCAGCCACCTGATTTTATAAATAAAGTTTTATTGGAACACAGCCACACTCATTTGTTTACATATCGTCTGTGGCTCCTTTTGTCTCTACAAGACAGAGTTGAGCAGTTGCAACAGAGACCATAGGTGACCCACAAAACCTAAAATATTTACTCTCTGGCCCTTTACAGAAAGAGTTTGTCAAGGTCTGTTTTAAACCAATATTGACACACAGTCTCATTTTGCTCACTAATTTAACAGAAGGACATGTACATATCAATACACAAGTACAACACATGGCCCTCCCGCAGAGCTTATAAGCAGATCGCTTTTCTCACCCACAAGCACTTTCCAGAGTGGTGACAGAGAGCAAGAGCTCGAGTCCCGCTGGCTGCGCAACTGGGGGCCAACCCCTTCACCTCTCCTGCCTCCTCATGAGTAGGCACCTGGCTCACAGGGCTGTAATGAGAATCAAACGAATGACCACGTGTGAAGAGTCCAGGACAGTGTCGGGCCACAGTGTGGCCTCAATGAACACCAGCTTCTACGTGGCTTCATTTCATTATCCTCTGCACTCAGCATTTCATGAAACACACCAGATAAGGCTACAGAAGATGGAAAACAGGATATTGCAATTTAGCAAGATCTAAGTACCTACCCCCTGGTTCTTTTTCCTAAAAATCATTCCTAACAACCCATCCGCTGGATTTCTGGAACACGGCCATGTCTACAGTGCGGCTCCTGTAAAATGCAAACGAACAGTTGACGAGAATGACAATGCTTAGCTGCACTGGAACCTGCTCAGTTCAGTAGGTCCCCAGAACCTGTCGTTACAGCTCACTTTCATGTTTCTGTGGCCTAATTGTGCCTGGGACAGACTCGCCCCCCTGGACTCAGCACCCAGCTCTCTTCAAAGCCCTCCATAAATTAGTGGCTCTCCACATGTACTCACTCATGTGCCACAGAGACACTCAGGGTTGGGGCCGACCTGGGTCTGAAAGCAGTAAAGTTAATCAGGCCGTTGCTCCAAGTGAGTCCAACAAGCACAGAGTAATTTGCCCCAAGCACCCAGCCTGTGTTACCCCTTGATAAAACTGCTGAATCAATTAGTCTAATTAAATGAGGTGGAAAATTACTCCCGAGAATAAGTTGCCATGAAAGGCAGGTCTTAATTTGGCCTAAGGGAAAGCAAACAGCTCTCTCCTGTGTCTTGCCAGGGTCTATGAATGGGAATAATTGGCAATTTATGTGTGTGTATTTTTAAGTCCATGGTACAAATATGTTTTCGTTGACAAGCAGCTGAGGCTTTCCCGGGTATAAAGAGAGGGTTCTAATTAAGGGATAGCATAATTGTGTGTGTTGGCTGAAATGCCGCATGTGTGCGGTGGCTGCAGATATTGGGGCCTGGGACCCAGCCCACTGCAAGGAGTGGGGGCTCAGGCCAAGACGAACCCCCGCAGTGCCACCTAAAATCAGCCCAGTCAGTCTCTACTTCCCTTTGGGGAGATGTTTCCCCAACTCACTAAGGGCTCCCTTGCAAGCAACTTGGAAAGACAAGCTATGAAGTTAAAAATAAAAATTAAAGAGGAGCCTTCATCTCTGGGAACCTACTGCAAGTCTTAAGAAGATGTTGGAGAAATATATTTCTGCATGTAAGAAGGTGATCGAAATTACTCAATAAGAAAAAAACTGTTTCACGATGGTCTAAGCCGGTGTGGAATGCAGCTGTCCAGCTCTTCCAAAACCTAGCTCTTGGGCTGCGCAGCCCAGCCCCGTTTGCAGGGAGAACTCTGAGCCCCCTGCATGGAGGGAGCTGTAAGTCCCTGGGATCCTCAGAAACGGGCGTCTACAAACCCCGCAAACCCCGTCACCCATGCTGACCTCCTCATGCAGTATAACTTTGATAAGTGTTTTCGCAAAAAAAGTCTCTCTTGGATGCCTTTATCAAAGATCTCTTTCCCAAGAAGAGGTCTCACAGGAAAGTAGGCTGGAGGTGGGGGGTGGGAATCCCTGCTATTCATGGGACATTTAAAATAATCACAGGATGGGACCTTCTCCCAGCACCTTATTCCTGGGGGTGGGGTCTGACCCAGAACAGTGTGGTTCTGAGCCCAAGGGGCAGTTCAGAGGAGCAAGGCCAATCCATGTGGGATTTCAGTCAACTCAGCTTCCCCCCTGTTTCCTTGGGCCCCCTTTACAATGTGGCCCTTAAATTCCTACTGTTTAGCAGCTCTTCCTTGTGAGCCCAGCTCATCTCCACTGTGGGCTCCTGAAACCCTGGCCAGTCTCAGACTCTCCTTTCATTTAACTGGGGCAATAAGTGATTAGCTAATGGCCCAGAAAAGGGGAGAATCAATAGACATAAAAAATCCTTGGAAAAGGGTGCTTGACACGATGGAGGGACTCAACAAACACAGCCTTCAATTGACTGACGACTGTGGCTTCATGAGCTTCAGATACCGAGAAAATTAGTACCAGTCCCTCTGCGCCAAGACAGGGCTCAGATTTTGAGTAGTTAAGTTTAAGAGGCAGTACACAGTAGTCCCCCCTTATCTGAGGGGACTATGATCCCAAACCGCCAGTGGATGCAGGAAAACAGGATAGTACCAAACCCTGCATTTACTGTGGTTTTACATATACATACACACCTATGAGACAGTTTCATATATAAATTAAGCACAGTAAGAGATTAACAACAATAACTAATAAAAAAACAGGACAATTATAACATACTGTAATAAAAGTTATGTGGCGTTATTAAGTTAAATAAGGGCAACTTGAACACAAGCACTGTGATACCTTGATAATCGATCTGATACCCCAGCCAGCACTAGGTAACTAACAGGCAGGGAGCATCTACAGTGTGGGGGCGCTGGACAGAGGGGTGATTCACCACCCCGGTGGGACACAGTGGGATGGCGTGAGATTTCATCACGCTACTCAGAATGGTGCTCAATTTAAAACTTACGAATTGTTTGTTCCTGGAATTTTTCATTGACTATTTTCTGACCACAGTTCACCGTGGATAACAAAACCTCTGAAAGCAAAACAGCAGATAAGGGGGGACCACTGTAGCTTGGGGTTGAGAGCATTGGTTCTGGAACTACCCAGAAGGAGGGAGGGAAGGGGGGGGAAGGGCGGGTGTAGGGGAGGAGTGAATGGGGAACGGAGCTAGCCTGCCATGTGCTGTGCTCTTTAGAGACGTCATCTCATTTAAACCTGCCCCAAACCTATGGAATTCATCATCCAAAAAAGGGCATTTTAAAGAAAGCCCTCTTGATAAAGCTCAGAAGTCATGTAATTAAATGCCCCATTTTCTGTAACTTTCAACCCATCTTGGACCCCCACACCCGTCCTTGAGCATATTCCACCCTCAAACCCCCTTTCATCCCTAAGATGAGGCTCAGGGGGGTGTACGAGGCAGAAATGTATCTTCCTCATAAGTTTACTCTCTAATTTTTCAAGGCTGACGTTTTGATGGTTTTCTTTTTAGTGTCATGAAATTTAGTGTGGATGCCAAAGTCTCTACCATACTACCAAAATGCCAAGTCAAATAGTCATATTACACATTACTATCCCCATTTTACAGATGAGGGTGCAGAGGTTAAATAACTGGCCCACATGTACAAAGCTAGATAGCAGTGGAGCCAGGGCTCCACAGCCATGTGTGTAGGTTGGCTTGAGCACTTGGCTTTTCATTCCCTCACCACCCCCCCATTTCTACAGGACTTGAGGTTGCTGGACACAGCCCAGAGGTCACCCACTCATTCATCTCCCTACCCCAGACCTGGGACAGAACTCAGACCTTCTCTGAGTGCCCAGGATTATGAATCAGCTTGAACATGTCCTTGAACACCTTATGCCTTAGTTTCCCTGTTAAGGCCCCAATAGCTTATCCTGTGAAATTAGTCTAAAGAATGTCTGAGGGGGGAAAATGGTTCTTGTGAATTTTTTTAAAAACTGAAGTCAGAAGAAATGCTATAAGAAAAAGCTTTTTTGTTTCGTTGGTGTGGCTCAGTTAGTTGAGTGTCATCCCAGGCACCAAGAGGTCACTGGTTCGATTCCCAGTCAGGACACATGCCCAGGTTGCAGGCTCAATCCCAAGTAGGGGGCTTGCAGGAGGAAGTCAATTGATGTTTCTCTCTGGTCAATGTCTCTCTCTCTCTCTCTCCTTCCCTCTCTCTAAAAAAATAAATTTAAAAAGTTTTTTTAAAGAAAAAGCTTTCTTTTTCAGATAGGTGCCATTTTCCCCACAACCACATGGATTTAAAGTGGGCCAGATGTTGCCTTTT